GATTCAGAGGGTTAAAGTCACCTCAAAGTTCGACCCAAAATCATGATGAAGAAACCCCGAACGCGAACTGCTGCTCGGTCTGAACACACCTCTTTTAGATTTCTGCTCCTCTCACCTGTCCGAGATTAAAACCTTTCTGATGTTGACGCTGTTACGCCGACGATCCGTAACAGAAGCAGCCGAACATGGAGTCAAACAGCTGAAACCGTCCCGACGCTTCCTGCCGAGCGACCGAAAACGATGCTAATCCAACGGCTGAAAGTTCGGTCTTAAAGGCAGTCGAGAGGAAAAACGAGCGAGAAATCAGATTAAAATGTTTACCCGCCAACTTTTAGCGACTTATTTTCAAAGTTCCAAATGTTTTTTATGATGTTAACGTTGTTTTTTTGACACCTTTGAAATTGGGATTCTGGCGAAAAAAAACATCGTTGAACCAAATCTGAATATTTCGCAGGTGAAGAAGTTATTTAAATAGTTAAAGTTCAGGTTTATTGGTTCTGTCTGCTCCTTTGCTTGTGTAAGAACATGCAAATGAGTTTTTAAGGTCACAAAAATATCTGTGATTTCAGAAATGGCGGCCATCTTGAAAAATAGTTTTCATGCGGCGGAAACATGAGACAGTTTTGGAGGTTTGCTATGCAGCACGTTTGGTTCGTTCTCCCCTAAAAATGTCCTAAAAGAGGTTCTACGGGGTTCTTGTGGTCACTCAAAGGTCCAGGTCGCCTTAAAACAAACAAGGCCCCAGAGTGGAAACCAGATATTGTTGAATAGCTAGCGATGGCGGCTTCGCTAACGTGCTAACATGTTAACCCCAGACCTCCAGGTGAACCAGGACGCGTGTTCAGACGCTGTTTGTCTTCATGGTCCGATCGATGTTTACAACAGTTTGTAGTCACTGAGAGGAGATTTACAGTCCACGTTCAGCACCGAGTGTGTGTGTGTGTGTGTGTGTGTGTGTGTGTGTGTGTGTGTGTGTGTGTGTGTGTGTGTGTGTGCACGTTTGGGCAGCTCGTTGTGTGTTGATTTATCAGTACAAATGTGCCAGCTGGTGTTTCTGAGCTCCACAATAACACAGCGAGAAGATTCTGCAACGTACCGGGTCATTCCATCTAAAACCAACCAACCAACCAACCAGAACCTCCTCAGAACCAGATGATCCTTTTACCTGCAGGAACTTTATGTAATGAAGTAAAGTTCTACCTTCATACTGTGAATATTTACAGAGTTCTAGTGGAGGGTCCAGATTTATCACTTTAATGGACTTCTTTCATCATTTCTGAGCCTCAGAACTTCATCAGTACAGCAGATAGACACATGACATTTAGGAGGAAGAACACATCTGAGTTCTGGTAGAACCTGACACCAGATCAGTTTTACATCCGTCCAGGTTTGAGCATCAATATTATGGGATGTTTCATAGGTTGAACAGCAAACAAAAGTGCAGAATCAATCTTTGGTATCCGTCCTTTACCTTCTACCTTTACAAGCCTAGAAGCATCCCCACATCATGATGCTGCCGCCGCCATGCTTCGGCGGGGGTGTCATGTTTCAACCCTAAAACAGTCACGTGTTTATCTCCTGTGTTAACAAAGTTATGAGGCTCAGAAATGAACGTGTTTGTAGAATGAAGGTAAACCTTTGCATGACTTCATTAAATATGTTTTCTGATAATTCACCAGAGAAAACTTTAAAAAGTGCATTCTGGGTAAACTTTCACGGCTCATATCAGCATGTGTCACAGGTGGTTGGAACAAGTTCTAGACAATGGAAGGATCATTTTTACCCCCGTTTGATACCAGGATAATGTTCCTGCATCGATTCCTCTTTGGGTTTATTGATTTTTCATGGAATGACCCGTCGGCTGTTCTGTCACGTATGTTCGTTTCTACATACAGTCACCTGGCTGCTGTGACACTCACTATGTCTCATGTTGTTATGATTATTATGACTAATATATTCTTCTTATTACTAAGGTTTCTATCTGTGCTTCACTATGTCTTTTTTATTACTATTATTATTTTATTATTTTTTACTATATTCGCAGATCATCACTCCTCTGCTTCAGGTGAACCAATTAGATCAAATCTGAGATGATAAATATTCGTGTAAAGTGACAGAAAGGTGCCTGCTCAGAGGGTAAATCAGGGTTGTACGGGTGTAGATTTCAGGTGGGACAATGTCAGCATTAGAACATTCGTTTATCCCCCAAAGAAAAACACAACGTTTACTTACGGTGCCTGAATTTTGTATTTTCCTTCACATACAAGTCATTTCCAGCATAGATCAGTGCAAAGAAGACACAATTTGGTGCAGAAAAGATCACTAGGATGCAGGAAATGTAGGGTTTGCTGCTTAATGTTTCCCCCCATTTGTTAAATCTGTGCTCATGAAGTTTTAGTTTTGAGGAAATAATTCAGTAACCTTTTAATAACCTTTACTTTTTTAAAATGTCCAGTTTGTTTCACGATATCTGAATACTGTTCATCAGACATAAAAGCAGTGGGACTAATTAAAAGCTGGAACGTGGAGGTGATTAATTTCACAGTTTGTGTTCTCTTTTGTTTTTGTAATTGTTCCATTTTTGCATATTTCTGATTTAAATGTGAAGTTGTAACGGCACAGTTTTGGTTTGTGTCGAGTGTTAAAGCTGAGCTGCAGCCCTGAAACTGGTGAATATGATGATGGAAATACGACTAAAAACTGTTTGGAGTTACATCTAAATGTCAAAATAGAACGATGATGTGGACGACAGGGACAGAGTAATAATAGTATGAAGTGTAACAACGGGGAATAAAAGCTGTGAGGAAGTTTGTTTTGGAACACAAAGAGTAAAACTGGTGTTGTGTTCTGACACTGGGATTTATTTTATGGGCAAAAATATGTACATGTGACCTAAAAAAGTCCTAAAGATCTAAGTGTGTCAACTAAAGTCAGCTGGAGTCTGGTTTTCTTTTTTAATTCTTGAAGATGAATTCAGCTTCATCCAAGAAGACACCAGCTATCAGGTACTTATAATGCCGTCCTGAGATCCCGCCCCAGGCAGTTTTTACCATCGTTTACACTTTGAATCATGTGACTCATAGGTCTTTACCAAACTATGTGAGCTGGAGGTGAGAATTAATACCCCGGACGCCCCACCAGTCAGTTAGATCTACACCTACGCAGATGACACTGTTATTTATACATCAGTCCAATGAATTAAAATTCTATAATGTTCTCTTTTCTCTACAAAATTTGTTTTCAAATTACAGTCTTGTACATATTAAGTCTATGTAGGTGATCACAACTGTAGGTTATAAGAGTCCTGAGTACTTAAGTAGACGTTTTTTGTTTTTTAAATGTTTCACCTTTACCCGAGAGGAAACCACTTATCAGGTGCTTATAATGCAGCCCTGAGTTCCCTCCCCAGGCAGTGTCACCATCATCAGCACCTTGAATCGTGAGTTAATGAACTGTGAGCCATGATAGTTGGAGTTGGTCAGTTAGAACTTATCTTGGATAAAGATGAAACGTCCTCAATTAGGAAAAAAAAGAAGCCCAGTTGTTTTTAACTGAACTACTTAACATCACCCTGCAGCACTGAGAATCAGCACTGACTAAACATGTATAAAAATTTGTTTTAAAACTATTTTTGTAGAAGAGAAACTTTGGATTGCAGAGAGCTTTCATTTTAGTCCAGTTGTACCGATGTATAAAAGACAGTGTCATCGGCGTAGAACCGAACAAAATAATTAGAACTCATTTCTGGAAGATTGTCAGTAGAAATTTTAAAGGTTTGGGCCTTAAAATAATCACCATGTGACGTATCAGTCCTGGATCAGGGCTGGTTAGTGTCAACAGATGAAGAGTAATTATTTATTTGTGCAATAATTTTAGCACCTTGTACGATTCTAAAATTCCCAAAATAATTTCCGGTCTGATTGGTCACCAGGCGAATACAGTGTTAATAGACCAGGGATCTGCCAAACACATCTTTGACATTTGTGCCCATGTTCATCAGTTTTTTAAAAAAACTCTTTTTTGGTGCGCCGCTGTCCAGATTTAACATTTTTCAACACTTTCCCTGGATAGTTAGATCGTTGCTAGCGACAATCAAGGCAACCAGAATCAGCTGTTCGTAAACTCAGAGTGATTTCCGTCTGAGGAGCTTCACCTTCACCACTCGAACCTTAACGCCAACACCGGGCCAGAAATTAGATTATCTTCATAGCCACCTGAGTTATTATTTAATTAGAGCTGCAGCGAATCATCAATTAGCTGTAAACTGTTAATCTCCAACTATTCTGGTAAACGGTTTGAGCAATCTAGTTTCTTTGCTCCTCTGTGACTGTAAACTGAAGATCTTTAGATTGAACAAGACCTTTGGGGAAACTCTGATCCACATTTATAGACCAACAGCTGACTGATTGACCCAGAAGATAATCTTATAAGTGACGATAATATGGACACCAGAACATTTGGGTTTCTCTGGTGCCGAATGCTGCAGCCAGTTCATCCTGCAGATTATAGAATAGAAAGGCCAGATATGGAGGGTTTAAAACAATCACATGCGATCAGCCGTGTCTATATTGAGTTTATGTCTGAATCCCTGAAATATTCTGGTAATTTGATCCGGTTCTGGTACCAGTCGCTGCCTGCTTCAGTCCAGAGTCACCGAGGCCGAGTTCAGCTTTTAGCATGTTCTGTAATAAAGCTTCAGGCTTGTAGTTTAGTAGAAGCGACGCCTCACTCTGCTTCCTTCTCTGGTTTGTATTTTCTATGATTTCATGTTTTTTTTTAATCGATTCTTGTCTTTAAATGGGGAAGTTTATCGACAGTTGTTTCTCTCTCTGAGCTCCTTCAACAAACTGCTGATTTTTCTTCTGCTTTTCTAAAGAAACTAACTTTCCCTCTCAGCGTGTCTCTGTGTCGTTATTTCATTCACTGGTGGCTTCAGACTGTGTTTCCTCTTTTTCTAACGTGTAATAAAGTCTGTGACATCGAAGCTAACGAAAAAAGGACGCGGTGGAAGAAGTGCCTCTGAGGAGTTCTTCTGCTTTCAGGGGAAGAAGTTTGGTGTTAACACTTGAACGCAGCTCTGTGAGGAAAACGCCCTGAAAGACTGAAACTACAGTCGGATCAGATAAACGCCGACTGGAACCGTGTCAAATGTTCAGTTCATTGCCGGATAATTTCCCAGCTGAGGTGAGAATACTGGGATATTTTAGGATTCTCCTTCTTCTAATGTACAAACACAGCTTTTTTATTTTTTTGCATGAATAGTTGATCAACTAATAGTTAAAATAATGATGAACTTGTGTTGTTTTAATCGGTTTAGTGTTTACAGTTTGTTTTGCCGCCGACATGTGGCCAGAAAAACTAAACCCAAAGAGTTTTCTCATGGTTTTTGGTTCCCCGTCGGTCCTGCTTTAAACCACAGCAGCTGTTCACCGTGAAACATCTGGAAAACCTCCAACAAAACACAGTCAGCTGGTGAATGCAGTCCAGATGTTTGCAGATAAACGCGCAGATTTTCTCCAGGAGGCCAATAAAAGCTGATGTTTCTTAATTTCTGCTGGATTTAAACAGAAACAGGTGACAAACGCTTTATACTGAACTTTGTACGTCGTGTTAATGAGTTGAAAATGTGTTTTTCTATCAGTTAGAGCAGCTGATTGATCCTGTGAAGATCTCTGATTGGTCGACTGGTTTTGTTCCATTGGATATTAGATATTGAGCCAATCAGACAGTTTATTCAGCTTTCCCGAGCTTTCAACAGTGAATACTGTTTATTTTATTACACGTTTTTGCTGGAAAATTGTAAAAACCTTAAATTCATTTTATTAAAAGACAAAAAAAAGACTTAATTTATTTATAGCTTTAGTTTTTCTTTTTTAAATCATATTTATCTTGTCATTAAGAAGAGATTCGTCCAACTTAAACCCACCAGGCTTCATGAAACCACCAGAACTGTCCCGTTACTGGGGGTTTGAGGTTGTGAAGTTGAGAACACTGCTGTTTTGTTTTTGTTTTTTTCATTTCAGTCTGAGCTTTATTCAGTATTTCCTCATCTCACAAAAAACCTGCAGGCAAGAGTCATTGAGTCGCTGTTGCATTATGGGAAATGTAGGATCAACTGTTTTCTTCCTCATCTTCCTTCACAGCAGGCTGATAAAGCAAAGTTATCACACAGACGATAAAACAAGCAGCAGTTTGTGGTTTATTTTTCCTCACTGTGACTCATTTTTAACTTCAGTGCAGCTTTATGTGAACCTTGAAGAAGGAGAAATGATGTCTTGTGTCAGTAGGACACAGTTAGAATGATGGACAGAAACATTTCTTTGGTTATTTATTTAACAAAAATGTAGAATCAGGGTCCGACGTGGTAGAACACTGCCTGTAGTTCACCTGAATCAGAACCAGGAGGGAAGGAAGTTCTGTTTTTTAACAGAACGTTTAAATGAGACATGTAGGCTAAAGTGATTTAGATGAAATATCACAAATTTAAGCTCAGATTTGTTTATTTTCTGAAGTGTACGTCACATATAACACATTCCAGGACCTTCATGACATTAAAATGCTGTGATATGTTCTGTTTTTACAGCTCTTGGCTCTGACAGGTGACGTAATTTCTATTATTCTTTAAAGATATCAGATCTTTCACACCTACAGGTGACTTCAGGAGTTCAGAAGGTTGAAATAAACTGGATTCATTCTTTCACAACACGTATAAATAAGGATTATCAGTCAGGATATCTCGACTTCTTCTGCTTCAACTTTTCATAACTTTGAATAAATCTGTCGTCCACAGTCCAGCAGATTAACAGGAAACAGAATCATCATCATTTTGTTGTGTAACTGTTGTAAAATCCATCAGACTCCTTGAACGTGACGACCCTCCACCTGGACACTAGGTGTCGCTCTTTTCTTTTTCAGAGCTGAAGGAGGTTCATCAGCTGATGAAGCCTCAACTTGGTCCAGTGGTTCATCTGCATCAAACCAACACCGTCAGCATGGTTCTTTAGTGCACAGTTATGTAGTTTTTGTTAGAATAAATCTAATTTAGTCACCACACAGTTGTTGTCTCCTTGTTTTTTGTTACAGTTTTTTAACCAGGCTGGAACAAGTGACAGTAATTTTTGTAGGCCGTCAGATTGATCCTCTGCACCTTCAAACTGCAGCAGCAAAGGTGAAATATGATGAAAATGATGAATGTATTCAACAAATCTTACTACTGAATAAAGAAACAAACTTTTTGGAACTTGAGCTGCATCAATTTTTAAGTAGTTTTGTGTCTTTGGTGTCATTCTGAGTGTCGCTGTGGTCATTTAGTGTAGTTTTCTATGTTTTTAGTGTCACTTTGTGAATTTTGAACATCATGTTGTCACTCTGTTTAGTCATTTTGTGTCTTTTTGGTCTCATGTCTTTGATGTAATTTTGTCTGTCTTTGTGAAATTTTGTCTCTTCTGAGTTGCTCTTTTTCTTTGTTGGTCATTTAGTGGCTTTAGTTTGTCCTAATTTCTTCATTTCTCGTCCCTTTGTGCATCTTTTGGTCATTTGGATCACGTCATGGTATTTCTGTGTTTCTTTGGATGGGGTTTGTGGTTTTCTTTTGGTCAATTTGTATGCCTTTGGTATCATTTTCCATCTTTTTTTTGTCATTATGACAGGCTACAATAAATATTTAGGGCTTTAAGATAAAAAATATTTGAATTAAGACCTTTTAAAATATATTCACAGTATTATCTCTAGGAAATTTATTCCAGACCTGCAGATGTCCGGCTTTAAACTCAGGCGGAGTGTTTGTGAACACACCTCTGCTGACAACAGCCAACTATCCCCGCCTCCCGACATCAACAACCAATCACAATGACGCACATGATCAGCCGGCCCATTTGATTGGCTGCTGTCAGTGTAACCCCCGGAAGTTTGCTGTCACTAATAGCTGCAGGATGGAAAGCTTAGCTGCTTTTCTCTGAAAGGTTAGTGGCACAGGGACACTTTTACTGGTAATTTTAATTAACACAACGTGTGTCATATATTCGCTACATCTGAGTGTTTCATGTAAATTAATTTCAGTTGGAGAAACACGAAAACGATGTGCTTTTGCTCGTTAGCGTTAGCTTAGCCTCTGGTTGTGCTAACCATTGATGTTTACAAAAGTACATTAACAATTAATTGTGTCCTAACAGCACTTACAGCTGTTATGGAATTATTTCTAGACTCCTAAAAGACTCTTCTAATCATCCGGACTGAAACATATCCGGTCCACTAACTGACAAAGAACATTTTTAGCTCGATTTCCAAGTTGCATCCTTCATTTAAAACACAGATGATGCGCTGGTTAGGATCATAGAAAGCAGAGTCACAGCTTCAGGAAAAGGGTTAAACCTTTAATTTACTACTCTGTAAACTGAATATACTGTCATCCAGGTGGTTAGAAGAGTCTTTAAGTTTTCTAGAAGTGGCTTCAGAGCAACTAAGTGTTTCAAACATCATACATTCATAAACAAAGTTCTCTCTGTGACCTGAAGGATTGTCGCTGCTGGAGGAGCTGAAACAGGATTTTGTTTAGTTTATTTAACCAGGCAGACATCTGCAAGTGAGCTAGAATATTAAATGCTGCTTTTCAGTGTCTTTTTTTTTTTATCTTATGTGATACAGAACACAAACAAAGACCTGAAACAAACAGATCAGCAGCAACTGGCCAAACATCATCAATCACTTTTCATATTTAAGCTACTAACGTGTTTTGAAAGACAATAAAAGCAAAAGCTGGTTTACTTTAATGTAGTTAAGCTGGCTACATTTAATTTGTTTCATATGTTTTTTTTAGCCTTTTATTTAGAAATTATTTGCAAAAACCATAATTTGCAAAACACCTCACCACCACCACTGCTGCTGTGGGTAGATTTTAGTGGACAAAGTGGAATCTAGTAACTCTGAGGAGTTACTCTTTTGTTGGATTTGCAGCAAAATGTGACTTTAGAAGTTGCCAATATCACTAATCTGAAACTAATAGAGGCCTATAATGAACAAACAAACCAAAAAAAGCAATTTAATTGTGATTTTTTGTCCTGTTTTTGTCAGGATTTCCTCAACATGTCAGCCGTCTTTGTCACTTTGTCTTTAAAAATAACTATTTAAGTTATGACTGCTGTGACTTTAGTTTTTGTGGCTTTGAATTTGCTCGTAGAGTATTTTTAATTTTAGATTTATCCTCTGGTCCATTCAGGTCGGGTCTGGCTTTGCTTGTATCTGGCTTTTTATTTTTAAAATTAATAGTGATGTAAATTAAGATGTTCGCATTGAGTTTTGGTTGGTTTTTATTGGCTTGAGCTATATGCAAATATATTGTAGTTATTGTGGCAGATCCTGGTTTGGGATCTCACACTCGGCCATATTGAGATTTTGCTAATATTTTCATGAGTTGTTCAGCTCTAGTTTTGGACCCGTAGACGCCTCAGCGCTCCCTTCATGTGAACATAATGACATCATGTGTGACTGCAGTGCATCATGGGTAACACAGAGAGCGTGGTGGTGCAGAAGCGTCTGGCCCGTTTCCGCCCCGAGGAGCGTCCTGTCGTCGAGGGAGTCTTCGACCGGCTGCAGGGTGGAGCTGGAGGGCCTGCAGGGAAAACGCTGACGCTGGAGATGCTGCAGGTGAGACTGTTGAACCCTCTGAACTCTGTCCCGTCACATTTTCCTCACTGTGGGTTCAATTTTCACTGCAATATAAAGACCTCCATGGAGACAGGAAGAAGAAGTACAGAGAACTCTGGCATGTCACAAATTACACAAACTGAAATCATAAAAAAAAGAAAAGAAAGTTGCATTTCTTTGATTGTTTATTTAATTTAATAAAAGCTGGAACCAACACGCCCAACGTGTTTCCAAGTGAAAAATTGAATTGAATTGAATTGAAAAGTGTCTGCAGGTGTTGATAAAACTGGGAAAAATTGTGGCTACTTCAGATATTTTACTGTCCACATTTTTTATTTGTTTCCATGTTTAAACACTGCCTGCAGTTCTTCTAATTTCCTCCTTCAAACCAGGCGCCTGTGAGCAAACCTGGA